TTTTTGTCGTAAATAAATCATCAATTATCAAGCTTCATCATTAGGAATAATTAAATTAATCAGGTAAATAAAATCCAGAAGTAATGTAATAGCTCTGACAAGTRATACAATACAATATATAAAGAATGATATACATAATAAGGTCATCTATATTTATAWATATCCTTTTTGAAAAAAACTATTCAGCACACTTAAAATGAGATAAAATTCACAACTTGATTTTAGTAGTGTGCTTTATTTGATATTATAAAGTTCTATATATATGACCAGCAGCATACAATTATCATACCAAATAAATATATAATAATGTTATTTTAATAAACTGGGAAATCGTCATCGACTTGCTTTGCCCAAGCCAATAGACCCCCCTTAATGTCTTTCAGCCTTACTCGTTTGTTRAGATCAACTTTAGGCGGTGAACTGCTTGGTTCTTCRGGTTTCTGGTGTTCATCAGATGACTGGGAGATGCTTTTTTGTAATACTTTGACAGCTTTTTGAGAGTCATTCCCCTGTCTGCAGACTACAAATACTGAAAATGCAGACAAAATGWTTGTCAACCTGGATTTTGGTAGATTGCTTTAGTTAAACTCAAGTTCAATAATTATAATTATAATACAAAATAATGACTTATTCTGAATAAAAAGACTCTAGCAGGGTGTCTGGTTAGAAAGAGTACTGGACTGTAAAAGCAAAAGACTGTGTATAAAGGTATAGTTACCATCAATAGCCTCGTTGTCTTGTGATTCACTCAGTATTTTACTGTGAAGTTTATCCAGCTTTTCCTCGGTTGACAGTTGTCGAAGAGGAATGTATAACCAAAGTCAAGGAGTCTTATATAAACATGAATTATAACAATCCAACAAAATAAGTTACAACAAGTTTTTAAATGCATCCATTTTAAAAATATGTAATCATATATTAAAATTATAACAATCCAACAAAATGAACAAGTTGCCAAGTTTTTAAATGCATCCATTTTAAAAATATAATTATGTAAACACGCAAAAAGATGATGAACCAAATATACAATGTATAATACAATATAGAGCAACCTACAACCATCTATTTTATCTAACAATATAACGGTTTCTCATGATTTTTTGAGATTTTATGGATACTGAGTGCATTAGGCAGAGCACAAATTTCCATTTCAACAGGTTCTCGTACATCCAACAGAATATGAGGAGTATTACTGTCAAGAACAGCTTTGTATTCCTGTTGGAAGAAAAGGTTTTTATTTACTGAAGGGATTTTAATACATATAGCATAAATGATATGTCATACCTTTGCAGTGACCCTTTCTACGCCACTAAGATCATCTAAAGTTGGTGTCTAAAA